AAGAAGAGTTGCTTAAGCTTGCGAAAGACAGAGAGAGAGAGAGTGAGAAAACAAGTGTATGGTGCAGAGTCATATTTTGATAACGAAAAAAAAACAGCAAATTACATAAAATAAACACATGTGTACAATTGAAAGAGGTATCGCCTATTTAATTTAGATTTTTCGCATAATAATCGTCAAATCGTTGAAATTCGATTTAAAATTTATCACGTGAATGTCAATACGCATTCGCAGCGATTGTTATCGGTATTTCTTACACAAGGAACGTTCGAATGTATGTATCTTGAAGGTTGGATTGAAAATGACATGCCTAGCACACGAATACGTGTTGCCTGTCAAATTGACCTTCGACAAGGTTAAAACGACAAATACAGATTTTTCTTCACATAATGCGTACACACAACTGCAATATTCCATTGAACAATACAATTCAACCGAAATCAGGAAGTTTTTAATTGAATTTAATTTTTATACATTCACACCGGAATATTCTGGACGTAAACGATATACATTTGATAATATCTATCAGGGCATAATGACGTATTGCATAATATTGATGAAACATTTGAACATGTAATGCAATAGGTGCCTTTTTCGGTCTTTTTTGAAAATTCGTCCGAGCTTTCAGATACGCATTTTTAAATACGGAAGAAAAAACTTATTTGACACATGAAACTATTGGAATAAAATTGATTTGTGTTAGCCAAACGATATTAACACACCGGCATTGAATCTACGTACATATAGGCGTGAGAAGCTTATTATATATCGTTATGCAATCACTCACAGTGAAAAAAAATCTTTGAATTTGAAAACAAATTAAAATTGATTCAAAAGAAAAATTCGATTGGTATGTTTTGATGATTATTATGAATCAAATTGAAAACATTTGCAAAATAAAATTTATTTTTGTCATGCACAAAAATCACCAGAGAAAAAAGCACAGACACAAAGTAAAACGCACAAGAATAAAATCTAATTTTTTGAAATTATTAAGCAATGACACTTATAGCGATTGACGATATTTTACAGATAAAAATTAACTGAATGCATTTAACTTACAATAAACTGGAAAAATATCTTATGAAATGAATTTTATTCGTTTATTTTGCGGCGAATGTTCTGAACAACGATGTGAACTGGACAAGCGAGTACGTGCGAATAAGTAAGCTATTCGCAATGTGTGAATAGAACGGTGGATAGTTTTTTTCATACAGTTGTCAGCAGTGGAGGTGACCTTTTGAATTGAAGTGCGCATTACATAGACCGAACACAGCGCCACTCATGGATGGGATTGCAAACACATTTTGAATACGGATTTTAATGTATTCGTTTTGTGTATCTCATTTACTGCTTTGATATTGGTTACTTTTTTCTACCTTTCGAAGAACTTTTTTCAGTTATGCAAATCAAGATGTTTTATTTACTTTTTCTCTTCAAAAGACAAATTATCTCATACGAATATTATATTTCAATATCTTATGTATTCGACGCTTTCTCGATTCTAATTTGAGTTTGTGTGAGTTATTCATTAAACAGTTTATTTTGAAAGGGTTTTCTTGTAATAAATAAACAAGGAGTTTTATTTTGTTCATTCATTTATTAGCATACGTCCCTAGATACGTCCTCAAGGGGGTAATTGAAAAAAATCGAGAGGGGTAAGCAAAAAATGAAGTGTACTTTTTTCGCTTTTGTTTGCTCTTCACTTTTTTGGCGAAAATCCCTAGCAAATTGAAAGAATTCTTTGAACATTTTTAAGGGGTAACACTTCGTCAGGGGCCCCTGCTGAGGACGTATGTTTATTCGCATTAAAAAACTAACATTTTTATAAAATGAATTCTTAAGTGTATGAATTAGGTTCTTATTTAGACTTATTTGTGTGTACATTTTTATCATTTGCATTGGAATTAAATAAAGGTAATATGAGACAAATTAAAGTTATACTGAATCAAAGAATGATCTCTTTACATCTATTTTCTGATGATTTTTTAAGTGATTTTGGCGGCATGGTTTTCTTTACGAATCGCATAAAAAATTCGTAGGAAATATGCTTTCAATTTATACAACAATTGCAATTTCATACTTTAGAAGATACAGAGTTTCTTCTCATTATTAACAGCAAAAATCATAATTGAATTTAAAAAATTATTTTCCAAACTTAATATGAACTGGCAAAGGGATTGTTGCTTGTTTAAAGCCATGCATTGTTTAATTTGAGTTGGCAAAACCGTAAGAATTGTATTTGGCCATGAACTCTAGGTGGTCAGAGATGCAAGGATACCAATCTTTGGCTGAGTAATTGATCGCAGGCAAATCGCCACCATAATTGGCCGGAAGGTTAGCTCCGTTAATGTGTTTCATCAATGATTTACGGTTGCTTCCATGGAAGAACATCTAAAATGGTACAAATGGAATATATTACTTTCGCTTGTTTTATATGAAGTTAAAAAACTTACTCTTTTCGATAGTTTTTCTTGGACGAATGGTTTGAAAAGTGCCCAGACCATATTGAAAACGAAAGGCTGATTAACCATGTGCACCTGTTTCAAGCGAAGAGGCATTGCGTCTTGGATGAATGTGAGTAAACGTTTGCCCCATGCTGGAGTCAAGTGTCTGACTTGTGACATTCCCAATCCATCAAAATCCATAAGAACAACAACGCCACGCACTTGGTTGTTTTGTTCAACAAGTCCAGCAACTTGTATCAAATAGAACAATTTGAATAGCTGTTCCGATGACACCCTCTTTGGATCCCACAATTTACCACAATGAATAACCAAAACTCGGCGACCGTCTTATGAAAAAAAGCATATCAAATGGCGAACTGACTGTAGACTGATAATTCTAACTGTTACGCCACACTTACCTTGATCATAATTGGTCAATACATTGATCAAATCATTATTGACAAAGGCATCTTTTTCATCTTCAGGCATTAAATTTTTTAGTACGTCAGCATTATCACGTTTGAATTCAGCTATACGACGCATCTGCAAAACATAAACAAAAACAATAATTTCTTTTTCATATTTCAATTCATACTATCAATGATCGTGAAATCGTTGTTTACACACTTGACCCTAAAAATGGGAAACGAAAATGACAAAACACACATGCTAAACAAAGGAAAAATTTATTCTTTCCCATTGAAAACAAAGGTGATGGCGATTTAAAATGAAAACGAGCTTCGTCCCTGAGAATCTCAGGCTGAGATCAAAGGTATATGTTACCGTCAAAATTATATGACGAAATTAGACAAATGGAAAAATGTTTAAATTAATAAAGTTTGACAATTAATTTTTTTGTGAGTGAACTTTTTTCATCGCAAGTGATACTGAGTTCATTGCTATTAGGTGATAATTGTAACGAATTTACGTAAAACCTATATTATTGTTATAAATTTAAGTGTGACGGTACTTGACTTTGAATTTAAACCTCAAGATTTTTTCACGCAAGTTCATTAATTGTTGAAATTTTTCACTCTCTCCATATGAACCAAACGTTTGAATTACTTTTACAGGCGAGTGCGATAACGAAAAAAAACAACTATATCGATCACCTGGCCATTTAAGTGTAAAAAAATAACTAAGTAAACGTTGCGATAACATTTGTTGTATCTATCATTGATTTTGACGGAAAAAACGATAGTTTAAGAAAAATACAAAATCTATGCTCACCAATTTGATAGCACTTTCTGGATAGAAATGACATGGGCGTAAAAATATTTTAAGCGTTTCCTCATCATCTTGGTAGTATAAATCGGTGTTTTCATGTAAGAGTCGACGCAACTCGGCAACACTTTTTTCAACTCGTTCCGGAGTTTCATTTAATTCCACTTCAGCGATTTTTCTGGTTTCGGCTGACATTGGGCCGGTTTCCAATACAAATGGTGGCTTTGACATACTGAATATTTGCTTCACCTAAAAAAACAAACGACATTTTCTTGCATTAAAAACGGTGATTCATTTAAATAATTTGAACCCCTTTTTTCTCCGAATTTGTTTATTTTTTCATTTTATCACAGTTTTTTTTGCTCCACCATATCAATTTGGCTTCTTCAATTTAGCAGCAACTGAATTTCCTTCAAAATATGCATTTCAGTATTTCAATGTTAATTTAAAACGTTAAAACTATTAAAAATAGACAGTGCTTTGAATTCACGTTGTTTGAATTGATCGTATAGTGGAATGAATGTACGAGAACTGCGCACATGCACAATTTACTGGATTCGATTTATTCCAATCGGAATAAATAATGCAAAAGAATCAATTGAATTTATTTATATTGAATACGTCAAAAATAAATAAATGAATCAACGAATTTCATTAGGTGAACGGTAATGACACTTTTATCAGAATTGAATTCGATTTAAATGAATGGACTTTAATCAAAACCATCCAAAAAGGGGCCAATGAATCAAAAGTACCGAAAAATCGAAAAAAATCTAAAAGTGTCTCTTAATTCGAAAATTTGATGAAATTCACGCGAAAAAATCTTTATTAAATTTCAAAATTTCACATTAAATAAAACCACAATTAATATTACTTGTTAAAAGAAAATTAAAATCCACTTGGATGTCACTTGAATACTGTAAGATGACCGGTACTGACACTGTCTAACGATCGACTGTTTTTAAATCAATAAATGATATGAAATTTATTACTTCGTCAAGTTGAAATGGACTATAGAGTACCAAAAAAAAGAAACTGATTAAATGGTTTGTCCGAAAACCAAATGCACAAACACGAACAAATTCAATGCTTTTATCTCGTTGCTTTCGCTGTTGTCGTTGTGATTATTATTTTCATTGCGCACGAAAAAGTATGAAGGAAATTTGAACTCGAGTGGATGATTCCAAAATGTATTGTTCACAATGTGTGTGTGTTCAAGAAAGCCTAAGCAACAGGTGTGATTGAAGCCATGGTAATAATATATAAAAAATGGGAATAAAAAATGTATGGGCACGTTGCAGTTTTTTTTGACAAATTTCTTGAGGTCACGAATATTCTAGCTGGTTAATATGTATGAACTATTCGCAATTGAATTGTATCGAAGTGGAAAACAAAACGCATTGAAATTCTTATGCCGGCCAATATGATTGTACTATGTGCTTTATTGAAGCTACAAAATGAAGACGAATAAAGAGCAATATTCAAATTATATGGTTGAATGGTTGCTCGGAAATCGAGAGGGGTTGGTATCCATTTTTAAGTAACTTGACTTGAGAGCGGTACGCTATTTGAAATATTAAATTTTTAAAATCTAATAAAATCGTTTAAAAATACAAACTCTCAGTGTGAATCACTTTTGGTGATGTGTCAAAATGATCGTTTACTGTTTCAATACAACAATTCAAAATACCTAACAATCAGCCTGTGAAATATCAGGTCAAGATATCCAGAGTATTCTCTATCTGTGTTGTTATTGAAAAAATGCTCTTGTGATAAGACGAGTACAATCGATTTATATATTATTTTCATCATTATTGAACAACTAAAAACAATTCAACTTGTCGATTTGTGTGCCGTATTTTTATCGTCGCTCTTTTAGAATTGACTAACAATACAAAGTGCAAGTATTAGTACACTTTATTTTGTAAGAGTTTTCCTCATAATAAATGAACAAGGAGTTTTATTTTCTAGAAAATATAGAGTTTTATTTTATTCATTCATTTCTGACTTAACGCATTCCCATTAAAAATATAATATTTAAAATCGTTTTAAATAAAATGGTACCTAAAGTGGTATGAGCTGTTAACTCCAACATTTCTTATTCAGACTTATTTGTGTGTACGTTTTTATCATTTGCATTGGAATTAAATAAATGTAAAATGAGACAAACTAAAATTATACTCAATCAAAGAATACCATCTTTTCATTTACATATTCTGATGATTTCTGATACATAAAAATGAATGTGAGAAAAAAGTATTCTTTAGACTGAAGATGGACTGAAAAATAATTGGCGCTTCTCAAAAAAATAGGGCTAGACTCATACGTTTTACATTGTTTAATCTGAGCTGGCAAAACCGTAGGAATTGTATTTGGCCACGAACTCAAGGTGATCAGAGATGCAAGGATACCAATCTTTGGCTGAGTAATTGATCGCAGGCAAATCGCCACCATAATTGGCCGGAAGATTAGCTCCATTAATGTGTTTCATCAATGATTTACGGTTGCTTCCATGGAAGAACATCTAAAATGGTACAAATTGAATATAATTATTACTTTTCGCTTATTTTATATGAAGTTAAAAAGAACTTACTCTTTTCGATAGTTTTTCTTTGACGAATGGCTTGAAAAGTGCCCAGACCATATTGAAAACGAAAGGCTGATTAACCATATGCACCTCTTTCAAGCGAAGAGGCATTGCGTCTTGGATGAATGTGAGTAAACGTTTGCTCCATGCTGGAGTCAAGGCTCGGACTTGTGACATTCCCAATCCATCGAAATCCATGATAACAACAACGCCACGCACTTGGGTGTTTTGTTCAACGAGAGCGGCAACGTGAATCAAGTAGAACAATCTGAATAGTTGGTCCGATGTCACTTTCTTTGGATCCCAAATTTTACCACAATGAACAACTAAAACTCGGCGACCGTCTTATGAAAAAAAAAAATAAAGCATTTGAAATGGTGAACGGATAAATTAAAACGTTTCCCTGCTACACTTACCTTGATCAAAATTCGTCAAAACATTGATCACATCATTATCGACAAAGGCAGATTTTTCATCTTCAGGCATTAAATTTTTTAGTATGTCTGCATAATCACGTTTAAATTCAGCTATTCGGCGCATCTGTAAAGCATAAACGAAACAAATGAATTCTTTTTCATATTTCAATTGTACAATCAATAATCGTGATGCTATTGTTTGGCCTTAAACATTTTTAATTAAACAAAGGAAAAACTTATTCTTTCCGGAAACTTCAATTGAAAACAAAAGTGATGATGTTTCAAAATGAAAACGTGTTTCTTCTCTGAGGTCAAAGGTGTATGTTATCGTAAAATTTATGTGACGAAATTAGATAAATGGAACAATAGAAAAATTAGGAAACGTCACATTGTATGACCTCAATTCAACACACAGTTCCGCGAAATCTATGACCGTAATGTATCTATGACGATCATAATTTATATCTGCAATTAATTTCATTTGTTTTCGCCAATTCGAAGAACAACGTGAGCGTGGCCATATATAAAAATGTGATTGCGCGCGACAGACATATTGACTATTAACAATTGTTCAACCATTTTTGCTTTATCAATGGATGTCATTTTATAATTAATGAAGTTTTACAATTCAATATTTTGTGTGTGAACTTCTTTCATCGCAACTGATAGTGAGTTCATTGCTATTCTGTGATAATTTGGATGAATTTACGTAAAAGCTATATTGTTGTTATAAATTTAAGTGCGCTACTACTCAAGACATTGAATTTACTTCAAACTTTTATATTTCACTCTCTCCCTATCAACAAAACATTTGAATTACTTTTCCAGGCGAGCGCGATAACGAAAAAAATAACAAATATAATGATCACTTTAAGTGTGAAAAAAATGTGAACTAAGTAAATGTTGCGATAACATTTGTCGTATCTATCATTGATTTTGACGGAAAAAACGATAGTTTAAGAAAAATACAAAATCTATGCTCACCAATTTGATAGCACTTTCTGGGTAGAAATGGCATGGACGTAAAAATATTTTAAGCGTTTCCTCGTCATCTTGGTAGTATAAATCGGTGTTTTCATGTAAGAGTCGACGCAACTCGGCAACACTTTCTTCAACTCGTTCCGGAGTTTCATTTAATTCCGATTCAGCGATTTTTCTTGTTTCGGCTGACATTGGGCCGGTTTCCAATACAAACGGTGGCTCTGGCATATTTACTCAATATATTCTTTACCTAAAAATACCAAACGACATTTTTTTTTGTATTAGAACGCTGATAACAGTTGTTGGAAAAATTGTTCAGAAAATATGTGAATTTTTCATTAAAATAAGCCGTTTCTAGAACTTTTATAGGAAGCAATTTTTTATGAATATTGCTCTTTCTTATGTTCAGGTGTAAAACTTGAAACATTTTATGAAATAAGTGACCGCACTTTTCCAATACCAATAACAACTCTGCCCTTTTTCTTTCAATACACAACTAAACTTTTTCACTAAAATCATCGCAAAAAATTATCATCTGACAATTGAGAATAATGCTTTAACTGATTTTTGTTCAAAATCTACCTTATAAATTTGGCATTAGTTTTGCACCACCCAAATTTCCTTGAAAATATGCATTTTAGTATTTGAATGTTAATTTAGACCGTTAAAACTATTAAAAATAGATAGTGGTTTGCATTTGATCGTATGTACGAGAACTGCGCACATGGACAATTTACTGAATTCAATATCGACATTCAAAATATTTATTCCGATCGGAATAAATAATGCAAAAGAATCAATTGAATTTATTTATATTGAATACGGTGTGCGACGAAAAAAATAAACAAATTAACGGATTTAATTAGGTAAACGGTAATGACACTCTTATCAGAATTGAATTCGATTTAAACGAATGGACTTTAATCAAAGCCGTCCGAAAAGGGGCCAATGAATAAAAAGCACTGAAAAATCAGCGGCTAAATTTAAATAAAAACTACATAATTATTCTAAAACTGTCTCCTAGTTAGAAAATCTGAACCAATTCACGCGAAAAATCTTTTTAAATTTCAAAATTTCACATTAAATCAAATCACAATAAAATATATTACTTGTTAAAAGAAAACTAAAATTCACTTGAATGTCACTTGACCAGTACTAACAGTGTCTAACGATCGACTGCTTCAAAATCATTAACTGATATGAAATTTATTACTTCGTCAAGTTGAAATGGATTATATAGTACAAACAAAAATGGAAACTGATTAAACGGAATGTCCGAAGAACCAAATGCACAAACACAAACAAATTTAATGCTACTATCTCGCTGCTTTCGCTGTAGTCGTTGTATGAACGGAATTTGAACTTAAGTTTGATTGCGAGGATGATTCCAAAAGCAAAACGTATTGTTTATAACGCGTGCGTTCGAGAAAGCCCAAGCAACAGGTGAGAATGAACGAAGCCACATGGTTAAAACAATGTTGTGATTCACAAAATTGTGTTTGTGTGTGGTCAACATATGTACTATTCGCAATTGAATTGTATCGCAATGGAAAACAAAGCGCAGTAAAAACTGTGCTGGCCAATTTGAATGTACTGTTTGCTGTAATGACGCAACAAAATAAAGACGAATAAAGAGCAATATTCAAATTAAATGCACACAACGACCATTGGCCACGAACTCTGTTTCTGTTATTATTACTCATATGTTACATGCGTTATTATTAATCGCTTTGATAATATTATGATTGTCGTACACATCAACAACAACAGCAAAAAAAAAAACGAAGGCATTTTGGCTTGGACTGTTTTTTGTTTTGTTCAAATATGCTTGTTTATAACGGAACGTTTTCTGGACTATAAATCACCACACATTGATCATAATATTATACATTATCGGCACGAAGCAAACAATGCTCTTGTGATAAGACGAGTACAATCGATTTATAAATTATTTTCATCATTATTGAACAACTAAAAACAATTCAACTTGTCGATGTGTTTGCCGTATTTTTGTCGTCGCCTTTTTAGAATTGACTAACAATACAAAGTGCAAGTATTACGCGTACTTCTTTTTAGATATGAACTTGTAAGTCTTCTGATAAGCATGCATGATGAATTGTGATATTTTTTTTGTTGAATTTTGCTCCATATTAGAGAGAAATGCGTGCACTGTGGTGCGCGTCATTTATATTTGAGTAATGATTTTAAGATTTATTTTTATAAAAAAAAAACATTCACTGTTTCCAACATCTGGACTGGTTACATTCGGCAGTCCAAAAGTCAAAGATATTGAAAGAATTCATGAAATAAAAATGAAAATGATTTTGGAGGAACAACACTTTGTACTCGTTTATCAGCTGTAAGTTCAATTGAATTCAATTAAAATTTGAGAATACCCTTCAGATTGTGATAGTAAAAGATAGTACATTGATTCGCTTAACCTCATCAAATCCTTAAAATTGCAAATTTTGCACAAATCAATCTCACTGTCGAAAAAATAAAGGAAATACACTTCCCTTAGTTCAAGTTTATATTATTTCTGCTCCACATGAATTCGATTATAATCATTGATTAATTCAGATTTGTCATTAACACACTATATTTAAACACCATATTGTAAAATAAAATTGATTTGTGTTATCGCGCGCTGAAAGTGCATCGAGAGAGCACTAGCCTTGAAGCAGTATTGTGGAGCTTCACTGGAATTTTGAACTCGACGAATGGCATGCATATTGTTCGTGTAGTTGATAAAGAGCGTCGATGTTTTTCTCAGCTGCTTCGTGAAAACAGTTGATCTCGATTCTCTATTGGCCAAAGTCATTTTCAATAATTCCAAAAAGACGACGATCGAAATTTAATTGGTTTGTTGTGTAGAACAAAACATGTAAACGATCACGTCTGACGGTGAATTAAGAAATTGGGCTAACACACTTATCTAAACCGGATTGACTGGTGCCGATGATATCAAATTATCAAAAACGTCTTCCAAATTTGGTTCAGGATATAATCAAAAATAATTTCAACTCATTGTCGGATGACTTCTCGGCTGTAATTCTGGCAATTATTATCAAAGTGACCGCCGGCCGGTTTTCACTTAATTGAAAAGATTACAACATTTTTTTTTCATTTAACTAACTATTTTGATCAACAAAAACAAAGAGGAAAAAACGCACGTTTATTTAAATGACGTGAAAAACACAATAATTTGATAATATTTTTGCTGATTGCATTTGATTTGGATGACGACTTTCTTTGAGTAATCATTTTATTAGAAAATTAAACTCAATTTTCATAACTGAAATGTAATTTCAATGGAAAACTAACCGACAATTATGTAATCAATTTTTTATTATTTGTATTCATTTTCTTTCGTTTAAAATTGTAAAATGTATACATACCATGTGTTTCATTCTAACTCGAATGATGCGAGCTCTGCCACGAAAATTCACTTTAACAATGGTACTTTATGCAATTTTAGTTACATTTGAATCCAAAATTAATCAATTTCTTGAAGAACACATTTGAAGATTGTTGTGATAAATATGACCGGCAAGCGATGCGAAGCATCGACAAATGAAGCAGCTTCATGCACGAGATGCAAAAACCCATCATCGGCTTGAATAATTTTACGCCCGAATTGTATAGATGACCTTCACCCTAAAATATGTGGTGGTGTGTGTTTACATATGGATATTACCAATACACTTAACATGTTGCACAATTACGTGGAAATATACCGTGCTGTGCACTCGTTGCTTAGCGGTGGATAAATGCAAGACATGCGCATCATTTGTCAACAATATGCATTTTCACGCTGAATATTTTCCATTTATAAAATGCAACACACTTGACCTTCACTCAAGACGACACGAGCAGATTCAGCGACAGAAGAAAAAAACGAAAGTTGCTAATTAAGCACACAGTTTTTAATATTTCCTTACAATCAATCATAATTCACTTTAAATGGGAAGTTTTCCACCATCCACTTTTATTTTTACGGTTATTTTTATCTTAGGTGTTTCTAGAATGAGTTTACGAGGAAAACACATTGCAAAAGAGCTCCTTAGCTGGCAGCAAAAGAAATAGAACTTTAGATTCTTTCTTTGTGAAATCTATGAAATGTTTCGCACAAATGGTGACTTAACGTGATCAGTTTTCTATAAATATTACTTTTACGTAATGATTGCATATAATCTCGTACTAAAGCTATTTTTGGAATTTAACTTGAGACTTACTATACTCTTGAAAATTATAATGAAAGGAAAGATTCTTCGAACTCGGTTGAAGATTTCTATAGTGGAAATGGCGGTTCTGTTAATATTGAAGAAAAAATGTACATTTCAATGGTGAAAATATAAAAAATTTCCACTCTGAACATTTCTTATACGTACTCATCTTATCGATTTAAATTTGTTTTCTGCCCTTTTATGAAACTAATTGATGAAATTATGAAAATAATCGAAAAATATTTCAATGAAATAAAATAAAATTTAGAGATAAAAAGTAATTTTGGTTCTACTAAGATTCGAACTTGGATTAAAATTTCAGTGGTTTTCAAAGACCGTAGTGTAAACCAATACACCACGAGATCAGTTTACACTGGAGCCCATGAAATTTACCATCATTCAAGAAAGAAAAAAAAAACTAGTTTTAGCAGCCACGTGACATGTTGTTGTCTAGAAAGTACAAGTTGACACGTCTTATCTCCCGGTTTGGATTGATTATTGCAAAAACAAATCATACGAAATTTACAATTTTTGTATATATTTTTTTTTTGTTCAACTATGACATGAACAATATTTTAAGCAAATATTCTTCCACAAACCTATGATAATCATCGAATTAAACAGAATTTGAATGCCTTTCAACTAAAACTTCACCCACATGCTTCATCACCTTGTGAAAAGAGATTGTATAGTAAATGCATGAATATACGAAAACTTTACATAGTTTGTAGTCTCACAAGTGTCATAATTGTACACCAAATACCAAGCGATGTAATGGTTAGTACTCTGGCCTTTGAACTTAGTGATATGAGATTCTCAAATGAACTAATTTTCACTTTGAATGATTTCATTTAATTGAAGTTTAAATATTTATGCCATTTGTTGTTTCATGCTTTTGTTCTCTTTTGTTTTGATACCGTTCACATATATTCACCATTTCTCATGTGCCTTGATAGCAAACGACTTTCCAAAATTATGAAAATGTTTTTGTTTTTTATGCTCAGTCAGCTAACGTCTTCATGCAAATGTTTTTATATGTAATACAAATGCGGCGGACGGAATGTCAAGTGTGCACTTTGCGCACAGTTCATCAAGCGGTTCTATGGTGTAATGGTTAGCACTCTGGACTTTGAATCCAGCGATCTGAGTTCAAATCTCGGTAGAACCTGAATTTTTTTTTCCTCTCATTTTTTCCAACATTTTTTGCCATACTTTCACTTCTTATCTATATTTTTCTCAACCATTTCTCAATTTGATAATTGTTCAGCACTTTCTAAGTCAAAGTAGAATTAATTTATCGAAATATTTCTCAATTTCATGACTTCATGTGTATTTTTTTATTGATATCCTTTTTTCTCAATTTCCCTTTTTTCGATATAAATGTTTAATTTGGTAAGAAATAAAAACAAAAATGTTTACTAATTGTTCAATGAAATTAGCGATAATTGCTGAACATTACCGATTCAAATTAATTCCTGTTTCATTTTTTGGCATACGATAAATGCGAATAAAAAATTACATACAACGAAATATTCAAGACCGTCTCCATCCACGGAAAAAACTTGCGGTCGTGTTTGTGAACACATTCGAAAACTTTTATAAATCAACATATTTTATTAATTTTAAAATGAAATGAAGGAAAATATCGCCGTTTACTAAAAGTCAATCTAAAATTGAAAATGGAAAAAAAATTACAAAAAAAAAGAAAAAAAAAAATTGATCAACTAGGTTCCACCGAGATTTGAACTCGGGTTGCTGGATTCCTCTCGATTCTCATGTGAGTTCAGAGTCCAGAGTGCTAACCACTACACCATGGAACCGCTTGTAAGTAATTGCGCAAATTTAGCGTATGACTTGTGCAATTCGACATTACTTTGAATGACATTCAACTGCTGTAATCAATACCACCAACAATGCACACACCGAATCAACAAGTGTTTGTTCATATGCACAATATGTGACTCATTTGTTTGGGAAAAATATTGACCAAATGAGAGGATGTTTTGATGAAATTATGTTGTGTCTTTGAATACACAAGAAACGTCATTCATTCTTCAAATGAACATTTTGACCCCCTATTGGTGGCTGTCGAAAATACAAGCTTCGAACATTCTCTTGCTTATTGTGGCGATGTGTCAAATTCAAACGAGAACACCCAACACGTTCTGGTTGCATTCAAGCTTTGGACTTCGTGGCGAATGAAGCGCGCATAAAATCAAGAAAGAATATTTTGATCATAAAATTTATACCGTTGTCGACGCAATTCCATGTGATTGGCATACATTTAACTTGTAAGTGTTTTCCATCCTTTTATTTTTTAATTTTATCATGCATTCTGTGGCTCATGGGGACAAATATATTTTTTTCGTCTCTTAATAGAAAAATCTCGAATCAAATGTGAAGAATTTGAAACAAAATGGCTGACTGTGAAAAATCCATAACCAAACGATTGCGAAGAAGATCGTCGATTGTACCGGTTAATTACAATCTGGGAAAGAAACGAAAATGGGTGGCACATTTCAACGAAAATTCCGGGGAATTGCCACAAAAAATCTCGTTTGACATGGTTGCCGTGAAAATTGAGCCGCCTGACCACGAATCGGTCGATTGCAATCCACCGAAGAAGCGAAAATTGGCATTGAAAAAGTCCAAAGGCAAATCAAAAGAGCTAATGGCACCCAATGCAGCGTTTAAAATAGTTACTGTGATAACTGAAGCACCTGAACGTGACAACAGTGATTTGATGCGGTTGAAGGATGACGTGTTGTTGAATATGTTCCAACATTTGGATCTCAAGGATCTATGTGCAATGGCTGAGGTTTGTAAGCGATTCAGAGCACTCGCCGCAACCGTATTTGGCCAGAAGTTTGAAAAATACAAAATCTACGGATTGGATCGTTTGCTATTCCGTCGCTCAATGCGTAAATTCGGTCATTTGATCAAGTCGTTCGACATAAGCGAAACCATACTTGCTCGCACCGATGTCGATATAATTGCGAAGTACTGCACTCAATTGGAAGGTTTGTTACTGTCAATGATGAAAATTGACTGTGACGCATTCAAACCAATCTTTCCACGATTGAACAACTTACTGGTGGAAAACTGCACATTTGTGGGCGACAGCGACCGACTATTTTCCATTTGTACCAAACTCAATGTACTGCATATTGACGTCGACAAATACTACAACATTCCAAAATGCACATTCCCGAATTTGCGAACACTTCAATTTGACTGCGGAAGCCGATGGAAGTCCGAGTACCTATGGCGATTATTGGAACTCAATCCACAAATCCATTGTTTGGACATCATGACTCTGCCAGACGATGAAGTCATTGAAAATGTTGTTCGGTGCGCCCGAAATGTCAAAGAACTGTACATTGGACCCGGATTGATTTGGAAATTACCGAATGAACAAAGTGCCGAAAGTCTGATCAAATTGGCCAATTTGAAAGCGTTGAAGAAACTAACGTTGATTGCCAAAGGCTTTGATTACTGTGAATATGTTGGTCGGCTGGCCGATGCATTTTCAAAGAAAAAGGTCGCCGTTGAATGCTTGAGATTGGAATCGTTTGAAATCGAAAGCACCGATTTACAAAGCATTTGCAAGATAAACACTTTACGATTTTTGGTTTTGGATTCGGTTCAAGAAATTTCGGACAACGATTTGATTTCGATTGGAACTAAAATGCCCTTGCTTGAACAGATGCAACTTGATCTGAAATTCAACGATTTGCAAAATATCACGTGGGATGGCGTTTCAAAAATGATTCATTTTGCTGGAAAGTTGACATTTCTCCGACTAGACGGTGTACGAAACATGCAAATCGGACAAAAAGAATTCAACTTGCTGGTGAAAATATTGAAGAGACGGAATGGCGCAATGAGAATGGTAGTAACAGGCTGCCGTACGACGACTGGCTTCAATGTACCGCAACAAATCCAAGCGAAACATCAATCAGTCATAGCATTTGACTACAAAACCGACAACAGTGATGGATGCACGTGTGAACGCTGCACTGGAAACATCAACACAATCCAAATTAAGGAGGAACCACAAGAAACTTACTATACTTTTGAAAAGTATTCATATTTGTGAAACACCAATGTGTTTCGATTTCATTAAAATTGTCTTATTTTTGTAGTATTCAACAAACCTCTCATATTGACATATTCACCAAATTGATTCATTCATTTAAAAATATATGCAAAAGAATTGCGAATAGAATTAAGTTTAGACGAGAAAAAAAACATGACAACTCAAAGATTTCAACATATGAACAGTTGATCCAACAGCGAAAATTCATTTCTTACTACATTTTTATTATTTTCATTAAAATGTTTATTATTACAATTAAAGTTACAATATCAAACTAACATTGAATCTTTCACTTTTTGTTTTGTGAAGTTTCGTATTTAATGTCACTATTCCTGTTATTCCACTGAGCAACTACATATTTAAGAGATTTTGTTTATCCTCTCTTTGTTGTGTTAGCAACATAAATTAACACATCGTATTACAATTCAGCCTTATGAAAAATGATGGCCAATCGTTTATAGTTATACACTCTTCTACAGGAAGAGTTATACAGAACACGCTGCCCTGTAGATTTTCTTGATTGCCTTTTTTTACACTTTCGCACACAGAGACATAAACAAATCAGAAATAAAAATACAAAGATAGCAACAAATATCAATAAATAGCGAATATGTACTGAGTGACTATTTGAAATATTTTTAATTATTTTGTCCAATGAAATGTTTTTCATTCTTCCATAAATTATTGAGTTTTCTTGCACACAATCAGCGCCTTCGACGTGTGTTTGATTGATGGATGAATCGTGCCACTGCAGTAAAAATTTCACCAAGTTTCACAGGAGAAATTATTTTTCGATTTCTGTTAAAATATTCCCTTCCAAATTCAATTCAATTAAATTTTTAAAATTTCGTAAAAATAGATAAAAATCAACTGTGTTCAAATTATTGTACGAAATATCTAAAATTTCCAGATTTCTTAGATGATAAAATGTGATGAAGTCGAAATTTGGTAAATTCGATCGTTTGAGGTACAATTGTTTTAAAGTCGTAAATTTTTCGAAAGTAATCGCGGTTAGATTTCCGATGAAATGATTTGATATGTCAAGCGTTTGAAGAAGTGGACTTGCCTCCTGCATCAATGCTGAAATATTCTCAATTCGGCTGCTCGATAAATTCAAATGACGAATAGTTATAAAGTCACGTTTGGTGAAAATCCATTGAAATGTTCTTTCTGACAAATGCAAACGGGTTTCTGTTTCTTTGGGTGTAATGAGAATATCAAAATCGATGTTTGTATCCCCATCAGCGCAAATTATTTCGATTTTTTCCAATGTGTTTATAAAGATACCAATTGAGCTTCTATCTGCAAAAGACGTAAGAAATCCACATTCCAATCTCTTTATTTGGTTGTTATGTAGGCGCACACTTTTCAGCTCATGATTGTGTTCGAATTAACTGTTTTCGATGGTTTTAATTCGATTACTACTCAAATCCAACATCTTCAAATGCTGTAGATGTGAAAATATCGGCGCGTTGACTGTCTCGATTTTATAAATATAATACTTGTACACAAATAGCTATCGAAATCCTTCACGGGTGACCAAACGGTCATATTTTTGCATTTAGCGTTTGAAATATTGAGGATTATAAAAATTGTATTCAAGATCCTAGAAGGTTCAAGCGAATACTTACAGATAATCGCTAGGATAATCGTCCCATTCAAATGCTTGAACTTTTATACCATCTCCAACATAATGTGATGTGATATTGATCGGTTGGATTTTTTCATTAAACTCGCCAGGACCTCGATGATTTTCATGCTCGATAAATTCAAGGGATGTGTAATGAACTCCACCTGATATTAAGTCATTTGTTCCAGCTACAATCGTGACTCCAAGTTCTCTCCTACACAAATTTTGATTAAAAAAATTGAACGACAAGTCGGTTAACATTAAACGTCTTCTTTACCTCTTAAAGCAGTAACTCGCTGTAAGAATAAATTGATCTGATATACGCATCCACAAAAATGTCGTCCATAGTGAATTCCTTTGATTTCAGTGAGTGCAATGTTTTCTGTGGTCAATTCATCAGCTTGGTGTATGCATATCACACCATTATTTGAAAGGCAGAGAATGGCCGTGAATTAAACATGATTTTTGAAATTTTTTCATTTTGATATGAAGATGTGCCACTTCAATAATTATCTGTTAAGTCTTACATTCGTTTTCGAGAATTCGATCGTAATAACGAGACGTACATATTAAAGAGTGTAAATAAACCTCTCATTGTAAAGTTATATAACAAAACCACTTCTATCTTAAGAGAAGATATTTTCAGAAACAGTTTTTCAATTTATCGATATGTATAAGCAAATGGAATTATCAGCCCATAATCTGGCACAGAGATATCGAAAGACAATATGATTGACAAGTACTTCAAATGTACACGTGTATATAATCCCTTTACAAAGTCCAAAACAATAATTGTAAAAGAACGAAGCAAACGATTAGAGCTTGTTCAAAGAGTATCTATATAGTATTTATTTTCTAAAAAAAATGAAGTTCATTATTTTTGTCATTGTCTGCCTGGTTAAATTTTGTGAATCGAATGATTTAAAATGTGGTCGCTCTGATAACTTAGTTGAATCGGTTGAATTTTACTGTGAAAGCTACGATGAAGTGCTGCCTGAGAATTGTACGACAACATTTTTGCAATGGATTGGCACATGTGACAAATCCAAAGTGACACAATTGAAAATTGGCGGATGTGATCCCGATAAAGTAGTACAACTCGTCGGCGATTTCATGAATATTCGTTCATTGGACATTTCACATTCTGGATACGAATCTCTGGACGCATTTGATTTGAAACATCAACAATTGATTAAAATGAATGCATCTCATAATCAATTGACAAAAATACCGATCAAGTTTTTCTCTAATATTTTGAATGTTGTCGAAGTGGATTTCTCATTTAATGACATTGAATTTTATGATTTTATCGAACTACCAACAAATTTAAAAACGGTACATTTATCCCACAACAACATTACATCGCCAGAATTTTGTCGGAAACTCTACAAATTGGAGTATTTGGATTTGAGCGATAATTTGGTTCAGGTTTTAAGAAATCATTCATTTTCGTCGAAATATTTGAAAACACTTCGATTGGAAAATAATCGAATATACGAGTTTGATTGTACTGTTTTGACATGGATAAGTCAAGGAGTTTCCGTTCACATTTCGTGGGAGAATGTAAAATATTTTACGTTTGAATGCATCGATGAACAATTCAGCGTTGTGGTTGGCAATCAGAGAGAAGGTGTTTTTCACAAACCAGATGGCATAATCGAGATGCAATGCAAAGAAATGAACTTTAAAAGTATAAATTCATTTAGAGTGCATGAAGATCATTTGGAGAGTATAGTAGATGTACTACGTTGTTTGATGCCTAAGCTTCAAGATTTAGATTTGGCTGACAATAAATTGGAGCACCTGGATTTCAATTTGTTCCAACGTTTTTACAATTTAGAAGATCTCAACTCAAATAATACACATTTGCCGCATTTTGATTTTAATTGGTTGAAAAATCTCACAAAATTGCGATCACTTGATATTTCCAACAATAATTTAAGAAAAGTAAAAAACATTTCGATTTTGGAAATATTTCGAAATTTATACGAACTGAATGTTGAGGGAAATCACATAGAAAACACAATGGAACTCATTCAACATTTAAATAGTTCGATTCGTTATTTACATCTATCCGGAAACGATCTTGGGAAAGTAAATGATACAATGTTTGAGAGGCTTAGAAATTTGGAATATTTATATTTAAATAACACAAACTTTTCATTTGGAAATGCCAGCTCATTTGACTCGATGGAGAGACTGCAAGGACTTTATTTGGGCTATAATAACTTAGAAATGATTGATTTAAATTTATTACCAGGTGAACAATTGTTGGAGCTTGACTTGGGAGGAAATAATTTGAGAAATTTGGAAAATCTCACTCGTTCACAATTCCCAAAATTGAAGCATTTAGTTATTTCAGAAAATTGTTTTGCATACGATTATTTGAGAACGTTTGTATCGAAAATTAAAGAGGAATTTCCAGGTATTTCTCTTGGCGACCCATGGAAACAGAAACAACCTTAAATAAAATCGTTTAATATGCTATTTGAACTTTCCAATATATGGACGTTTTTCTAATAACGCATATATAATCGTCGTCATGCCCGATGATCATGAAAAATGAAACTGTCTACAAATTTTCAATTAACTAATAAAAAATGGCAACAAAACATTTATCTTTTCGTTATATATTTGTATTTTAAAATTTTGAATTATTTTTAGTTGAACTTAAAAATTGACTTCAATCCATTTGTAACATCGACATTTTCTTTCCTATTTTGTTTTATGTTACGTATACTTCTTATTTCTTAGGTACATTTTTACGTAATTGCAACAAAACATACATACTATATATGGTACGAGAAAAAAATCATTAGGAATACGTACAACCATACCATTGGGTGCTTATCAAGAATTATTAAAAACATGTTTGTATTTGACACAAAGACAAAATATATTTTCAAACGAATTCAAAATAAAGATGCAAAAAGGAGGGATTGCTGTTTTAAAAAAAGTCAAAGAACTTATATTATTCCAGGTCCAATAAAAAAAACTGGTACCAATACTTATTAGTTGCGAAATATTTTCTGTTTTAGTACTAGCAAAGTGTCAAAAGTCGTTAAATCTACTTGTTCTAAAGAACAAGTTAAAGCAGGTATAGAAGCTTAATTATACTAATTACTCTCATTAACCTTATTATTGCTTGAATATCCTGTCATTTCGAGAACTTTTCAATAAATCACTTCATATTTAAAATAAAAGAAGTTGAGTCAGTAGTTGGTCAGCCTTCAAACGGAAAAGATATCAAGTTCTCAGTGACTTAATTTCTTTACTGGATTTTAACAGATAGATTTTATCGAATTTAAATTATTAATTTGATCATTTGCAAAGTTAAACCTAAATAATATATCGTCACATATTTTCACTTTACTTGAGATTAAAGTGAATTTGAAATAAAAATAGAATAAAGTGCATTTTTGAAGAAATTTCAAACAGTTCGCTCGTGTCCATATTTCCATTTAAAAATGGGCGCCAACCGAAAGCGGAAGCATTCAGTGTCCAAAGTGGGCTGCACCAAATTAAATCGGCAAACCAAAATAACTGATGTCAACCAGTTTTGTTTGGAGCAAATATTCATGTATTTAAATTTAAAAGATCTTCTGAATCTTGCGGAGGCTAATAAATACCTTAAAGTTGCCACTCAAAGGCCATTCGCGCGAAACTATGGCGGCAAAACCATTCAAATTGAACAGTGTAAAAGTATACGACGACGTGATTCATCCCATGTTGTCGGTGTCGATGAAATAGAGATCTTTAGCTTAAAAATAAGTTTGCAAATGTTGCGTTCTTTCGGTTATATGATAACAGATTTGGAATTGAACTACGATTTTCTGTTAAATCAGGCCGTTCTACATTATAGTTGTGTTACTTATTACATTAATAAGTTTTGTGTTGATTCTTTGAAAAGGATTGAAATTCGGCCAGCTTTATCATTTAAATGTTTTAGGAACACATTTCATAGTGTGGAAAAGCTGAAAATCAGCAGATCTTCATTGAAAGAAATTCGTTTGAGTAAAATGTTTCCAAATTTACGTTATTTGGAATTTGAAGATTTTATTCCGGACAAGAGAGTTGCGTCCGATCATTTTTCACATTTAAATCATCTGAAAATCTCTTTATTTCAAAATCCACCGCCCAATTATAAAATTGCAGCGAGCCCACTACTGAAAAAGTTCGAAATCACAACCGAAAATTTTGATTTTTATCAAAAAAATATCGACAAATTGCAGACCGTTGAAAGTTTGCATATTACATTATTTGATTGGCCCTCCAAATTCAGTGGCAATGCAATCTATCTTCGATGTGTTAAAAGCTTGGAAATGACATTCATACACGTTGAAGATAGTTTAAAGCCAGTCATTCCGTTTTCATTCGATAAGTTGGAGGAATTCACCGTGGGCGGTATATACGAATTAAGCGATTCTATTTACACCTTTCTCGATGCAAATCCATCAATCGAGAAATTGGTGCTTAACCAAGCATGTTTGATCAACGGAATTGAGTATGATAGATTACAGAAAATACTGCCATATTTGACTGAAATTGCTTTTCCATATTCCAAATTTACAATCAAGAAAGCATTTCAAATTATGTCCAAATTTGAGTCTTTGGTGAAATTTAGCTTCCTCTGTGATGATTCGGACAACGAAATCAATGAGAATTGTGCCAATAAATGGAAGACAACTAAAACTTTAGATTATTTTGACGAAAACTTACTTACATTGGAGCGCATTCCAGTCACCGTTTAACTTTTCCATTTCACTATGATGATGTGAAATGTCACTTATCGGATGTTTTATTCAAAGAAAATGATAACGATCTTACTTGTAACTTCAAAGTTCAAATGTACCATGTGAAGATAGTGTTCCAATTTTGATGTTAAGTTTTTCTTAATATGTAAGAACATATGTTAATTTTTAAGAAAGAATCTAGGTAAAAATTCACACTATCCATATGCCGTAATTGAACAAGTTTTTTTTAAATAAAAAAGGTGATCACCTTTTGAAAGCATGTATTTTCACTGTTTAATATAGAATAAATTTTAAATATGTTTCAGAAGAATACAAAGGTCATCAGTTATTTTAACACCTATCACTCAAAGATTGGTAAATGGTGATAACAGGCACTTATGCTGACTATAAATCTTGCTTATGCTACAAATTTGGCTAGAAACAGAGTTAAAATGGGTAGTTCTCCTTTGAAGTGGCACTTGTGTGATATATTTGAATTTAATATCAAATTTTGTTATCAACAACGTTTGCCAATATATAAAACAGTCTAACACACTCTAAAGCAATGAATATAAAGTCCGAAGTGTAATCATTTGCTTGTTCAAAGAGTGTCTAGTATTTATTTTCTATAACAAATGAAGTTCATTATTTTATTTATTGTCTTCCTGGTTAAATTTTGTGAATCGAATGATTTAAAATGTGGTCGCTCTGATAACTTAGTTGAATCGGTTGAATTTTACTGTGAAAGCTACGAAGAAGTGCTGCCTGAGAATTGTACGACAACATTTTTGCAATGGATTGGCACATGTGACAAATCCAAAGTGACACAATTGAAAATTGGCGGATGTGATCCCGATAAAGTAGTACAACTCGTCAGCGATTTCATGAATATTCGTTCATTGGACATTTCACATTCTGGATACGAATCTCTGGACGCATTTGATTTGAAACATCAACAATTGGTTAAAGTGAATGCATCTCATAATCGATTGACAAAAATACCGATCAAATTTTTCTCTAATATTTTGAATGTTGTCGAAGTGGATTTCTCATTTAATGAACTTTCGAAGCACACAGATATCGAACTACCCCATCACTTAATAGTGGTTCGTTTGTCACACAACCATATTTCATCGGCAGAATTTTGTTCGCAATTGAGCGAACTGGAATATTTAGATTTAAGGAACAATCAAATCACGTCATTGAATGAAAGTACAATTACAACGACCACCTTGAAAACCCTTCAATTGCAAAATAATCAAATTCAACATTTTGAGTGTGCTTTTTTCATTTTCATCGAAGAAGGTGCTTCGGTTTATATTGACTGGGAAAATGTGGAGCATTTCACGTCCGAATGCATGCGACTGCCGTTCGATGTTGTTCTGGGCAGTAAAGATGAGGGTTTCTTACACACAACTGACGGCAAAATTGAAATGCATTGCAATACATCCACCTTCGAAAGTATACGATCGTTCGGCATAAATAACGATCACTTTGAAAATGTGGCAAAATCGATGCAATGTCTCACACCGACACTTAGAAAATTGGTACTATCTGATACGGTTGTTGAGAAGCTTGACTCCAAATTTTTTCAACGCTTTTACAACTTGGAATACTTGCATCTGAGACATGCACAACTAGAGGAATTCGATTTCACTTGGCTGAAACATCAGAAAAATTTAAGAGCACTCGTTCTTTCGTACAATAATCTTACGAAAGTCTATAATGTTCCGTTTTTGAAGTCTTTTGAAGAATTAACCAGCATTCGATTGGAAAAAAATCTACTTGAAAATGCACAAGAAGTTATTCAACATTTAAAGCCATCAATAAAGTATTTATACTTAACCGGAAACCATGTTGGAAGTGTGAACGATACAACATTTGAAAAGTTAAAAAATTTGGAAGTTCTCGGTTTGGACGATACAGAGCTGTCATTTGTTGACGCGAGCCCATTTGAAACGCTTAAGGCACTCAAATATCTTCACATTGGCTTCAACAATATAGAGACACTAGATTTGAACACATTACCTGGTGAACTTTTATATAATCTGCATTTAAGAGGTAATAATTTGACAAAATTAGATAATCTCACTCCTTCGAGATTTCCAAGGCTGAAAATGATGGCCATTTCGGAAAATCTATTTTCGTGCGAATACCTGAAAACTTTCGTGCCAAAAGTAAAAAGAGATTTTCCCGGTTTATCCATGGGAGATCCATGGACGCAAAAACATGGCCAAAACTGCAATCCGGAAGATAATTAAATAATATAAAATATACTTTATTTGTATGAAATGAATTAAAACTGCGTAAATTTAAAACAATAAATAAAATGTAATTAAAAGAACGAGAATTTCGAGTATTATTTATTTAACCCTCCTAGGTATAGTAACGGTCTATTAGACCGAAAACTTAAAAAAAAATCATAAAATGGAAATGCGTCGACCGATTGGCATCAAATTTTCGCCTTTTTACGAGAATAATGGATAAATATTGAAAATAACATTTAAAATCCTGAAACTGTTCTGTAAAAAAAAAAATCCAGAAAGACGAAAATCCTAACTTGATCGTATAGTTACGGTCTCTTAGACCGTCCATACAAAATGTATGGGAAACACATAATCAAGCATTTTCACAAATCAAGTTGGTGAAAATTTATGATATCCTTTTAATAAAAATGAAAAACTAAATTGGAAAACGAGAAGATAGGTTGAAATTCTCAAGAAAAATCAATTTGAATCTTGTTTATCGCGTACATAATATTATTATTTCAACAAAATGTCTGTCAGAGAAAAATCGATCTGAAGTCTACAATAGCACAAAAGGCGGTGTAGATGTTTTGGATCAAACTAGGAATCAAATGTGCCATTCAAACTCATGTCAACTTGGAACCAATCGATGGCCATTTCCATTCTTCATGAATCTCATCAACGTATGTTGTGTGTGCAAAATGCGAGAAAAAAACGCTCTCATGTAAATTCAAATGATGATTCAAATTAATTATTTTCTTGAAATCTTTTCAATTTTTAACTTTCAAACCTTTTTCAATGTTTTTATTTAAAAAAAATGCAAAAATTTGAAAAAATGTGTGATTTTGTTTTGGTTTTTGTTTGGTTTCCCTGTATTTTGTATGAACGGTCTAATAGACCGTAACTATACTATATTGTTTTTATTTCGAACTATACCTAGGAGGGTTAACATAAAAAATAGCAAATAGATTTGGTATTAATTTCAGCAAGACAAAAAATACTGCAGAAGAAAACAATAATTTATTTAAAAAAAATTAATACTGATTGATAATTTTCAATTTTGAACAACACTTTTTATATTTTCAGAATAAAAATTCAAAAATGTATTTTTATCTTTTAATTTGCTTCCATTTTTTCGAATAATATAAAGAAAAAATCAGTGTAAGCATAGGTGATGACGAGGGTTCCTAGGGTTCGGATTACCCACCTCTAAAATATTTTTAGGAACCCTCAACAATTTTGGAAATGAGGACCTTTTTTTTCCTCTTCACTTTGTTATTAGGATCCGTTAGAACATAATAATTATCATCGTAATAAAAATTTATTACGATATCGCAAAACGCAAAACTATAGATTTGTAAGGAAATTTGAAGTTTAAAAATTCTTTCGATTTGCTAGGGATTTTCTTCAAAAAAGTGAAGAGCAAAAAAAAACGATTTTATCCTCATTTCCGACAAATTGTTGACTTCGTCAGGGACCTCCTACGGAATTTTGCCATCACCCACCTTAAAAAAAATTACGTCAACATCTATGAGTGTAAGAGTTCAGCATATTGATTTTGTTCATCACCTTGAACATCGTAAATAACATTATGAACGACAGGCTTATTTTCGTATAAAACTGCAAACGATCGTTTAAATTTGATAATAGTGAAAGAGATGGATATGGAAAAAACTACTACTCCGGCGAAAATAAAACCGTATTTAATTGTAAGTGCCATCAAATGTCTATTATAGGAGTTATCGTACTCAACCTTATCATCCGCAATCGTTTGATTCATGTGTGAACAATCAGCGCCGTCGACGTGTGTTTGATTGATGGTTGGATTATCAATCAGTTTTAAATCGTGCCACTGCAGTAAAAATTTCACCAAGTAATCACAGGAGAAATTATTTTTCGATATACCCAAAACGGATAATTTTGGAAAATGAGAGCGTGTCACACTATCGATTTCTGTTAAATTATTCCCTTCCAAATTCAATTCGTTTAAATTTTTAAAATTTCGTAAAAATAGATAAAAATCAACTGTGTTCAAATTATTGTACGAAATATCTAAAATTTCCAGATTTCTTAGATGATAAAATGTGATGAAGTCGAAATTTGGTAAATTCGATCGTTTGAGGTACAATTGTTTTAAAGTCGTAAATTTTTCGAAAGTAATCGCGGTTAGATTTCCGATGAAATGATTTGATATGTCAAGCGTTTGAAGAAGTGGACTTGCCTCCTGCATCAATGCTGAAATATTCTCGATTCGGCTGCTCGATAAATTCAAATGACGAATAGTTATGAAGTCACGTCTGGTGAAAATCCATTGAAATGTTCTTTCTGACAAATGCAAACGGGTTTCTGTTTCTTTGGGTGAAATGACAATATCAAAATCGATGTTTGTAGCCCCATCAGCGCAAATTATTTCGATTTTTTCCAATGTGTTTATAAAGATGTCGATTGAGCTTCTATCTGCAAAAGACGTAAGAAATCCACATTCCAATCTCTTTATTTGGTTGTTATGTAGGCGCACACTTTTCAGCTCATGATTGTGTTCGAATAAACTGTTTTCGATGGTTTTAATTCGATTATCACTCAAATCCAACATCTTCAAATGCTGTAGATGTGAAAATATCGGCGCGTTGACTGTCTCGATTTTATTGTACGAAATGTTCAATGCTTTTAAATTGCGGCTACTACTAAATGTGAATACGTCCAGTCGAGCAATTTGATTAAATGAAAAATCCAATTCAACCAAGTCCGGCAAGTTACTAAATAGATTGGCAGGAAGTTCGGCGATTTGGTTATGATGAGCAATAATTCGTTCCAGATGTTTACTATTTGAAAAGTCTTTAGTAAAAATGTATTGGAGCTCGAAGAATGATACGTTGAATATTCTGAGACTCTCAAAAAAATACAAGGAATCCTCAAGTTTAGGGTTGGTACATTCCTTAAAGCTCAGTGATTGAATTTTGCTCCTATCAATACCCGTGGTATAATAATTGTTGCAGTACAAATATTGATTCGTTCTTTGATCGAAATGTTTTCCAGTTTTTCCATCACAAATGTATTGTATATGAAGTTTTGTTTCATTATAATAACAGTCTCGAGTACTCAGTGCCTCAAAACACGGTAGAATTAACACAAATAAAATAAAATTACAAACTATTTTTGTGAACATTTTTTTTCTGGAAAGTAAGGAAGTTTCTATCAGACTGAACTCGCAACATTTTCAATCTTAATGAGCGAGCTCCGAAACTGCTTGAAACAAATGGTTACGATATCATATCTCGGGACTGATAAAAGTGTAAAGTACATCCTCGTTTAAATTGATAAACTTACATCTTATGTTTCAGTCTTTTACCATAATATATTTGTGATACGCACTCTTTGTTCCAATGTATCAACTATAATGATGAAATACGTTCTATATATGAATATAGGTCAGTCCAGTGCCCGAAAATACAAGAAAATGTTAATCTACCATCGAATGGACTTTGCTGTAAGATACGCACGCTTTACGGTTCCAATGCCTTATCAATTCCATGGTTTATTTTGCAACAAAAATCTGAAAATAATAGCTCTCAAAAAATACCAACACAAAATAATTTGTTCTGTCAAGATTTTGAATACAGATTTATTTATTTATACCAAAACATAATTTAATTTGAATGAAGAAAACATTACATTTCTAGACATGCTTTTATTTGGCAAAATGTTCAAATTAACTTGACTTATGCAAATAAAAATGATGAGATTACAAATTTCATGACTATCGAGGTGAAATAAAAAGTACAAAAATTTGATGCTTCAGCAAAACTTCACTTCACAAATTGCAGTGGAATATTTTAGCAAGCTTGTGGTGCACTCATTTTTTCATATTGATTGTGCAATAAACTTTGTTCGATCGAGTAAACTGATAAATTTTTTTTGTAATTCTTGTTCGAGCAAATGCATTTTTTTGAAAGGTGATAGACACAAATTACAGCAAAAATCATGGCAATGAAAACGAATACACATTCAACGGTATAAAATTGATCGAGCGTATAATAATTTGAAACGTCAACAATTTCGATTGTATTTGTGTTCTGGTCGATGTTCAGCATATTAACTATTCCGTTGTTGGTGAAATTCATACGTTGAAGCCGTGTGAAATCGTCTTCGGTGAAAATCCATTGTAATTTACCATCTGATACACGTAAACGAGTTGCAGTTTCCTTGGGTGAAATCACAATATCTAAATCGAATGATTTTTCATCAATTTTGCACATTGTTTGCACTACTTCAAGAGTATTTATCAAAATATCCAATGACTTTCGTTCGGTTAGCGTCGATAAAAGTTCGCAATCCAGTTGTTTGATTTGGTTGTCATTCAAATTCAAAATCTCCAACTCAAGTAGATTTGAAAAGGTCCAGGGCCACAAATATTCAATTGAATTATTAAGTAGATTTAAAAATTTTAATTTTGGCGTATTATCAAACATTGTCATGTATATTCGGTTGATTTGATTGTACGATAGATCAACTTCAATTAATTTACGGTTTGAATCAAATATATACGTGTTAATCATCGTTAGCTTATTGTGCGATGCAAAAATCCGCTCCAATTGACGATTCGCTTGAAATTGATCAGAAGGAAATTGATCAATTCCCATGGATGATATGTTTAGGATGCGAAGACTCACAAAACGATCCAAGTTTAACCGATTATCCCAAAATCCGGAAATCAAGCAATCATGAAAACTTATCGATTCAATTTCACTTCTGTCGATGGCCGATGAATAATTGTGACAGTACAACACTTCAGTGGTTTTGTGCTCAAAATGTACACCGCGATTCCCATCACAATCGTATTCAACATGTTTTGTTGCATCGTCGTAATAACAATCGTGGGTATGTGCCGCAATAAAATATGGCAAAATTAATATTATTGAAATTAATCCAAAGGCGTTTAACACTGCCATTTTTTTGAAAATTGTATTAGAAAAATGTCTCACTTTCACTATAGTGGTAATAATGGTCTATAGACCAAGTGTTCAAATGAACAACGCAATAATGAGGAATGTAAAAATTCCTAGTATGAAATGTGACGCAAAACAGCTGGGTTTTTTAGCATTTTTCATGAGCGCGACTGAGTACAATATATGTACTCGCCGGTGACAGTTGTATTCTTCTCATATACAGGCGGCTATTCTCAGTAGTATTCTTATTTAACATTGTGTGCGTTTATTTTCTGCCGAAATCAACAGAAATTACTTTAATCATTTGAATACATTGAAACTCTGGCAATACAATACACTCAAACTCTGGAATATACAATTTATACACGGTCGGTGTAAGATATATACGCTATGAATTGGCGTACAATTTAAATTAGTTTTGATTTTTACGCTGGTTTACTTTGTTCACTTTTTTCAAAAAAAGGTAAAATGAAGCAATTTAAATTATCTTATTTAAATGTTACTAACAAACAAAAAAGTCAACAAAAAATAAAGAAATGCGATTGTAAATTTTCTTCTCACAAAAGCAATTCCTACCCTCTATTGGTAGACATTGGAAATTATATAATCTAGAATGGTTTTTTTCTTCTTTTGTCTGTAATAAATGAAACTATCGAAAATTTGCCTTTGAACAAGAACCATGAAGAAAATAATATCTCGAAATTAAACTGTATGCATTTAAAAGTATGAACGATATAGACTTATTATATCAGACTTTTTTCCAGATGCTTTTTGTCTCCCTTCTTTTGCATAGTTAAATGTAAGATGATGAAATCCTTGGATTTATACAATTCGCGTAATTCATGTTCCAGTGGTGATAGTTTTGTTCTTAAACTATAGATACTACCTGCGTTCATTTCATTTTGCCGTCGGGAAATATCCCTGCAATGAACAAAAAATGAACCACAATTCAGTATTTACTATTTGAATTTGAATGTTTTCTGATTGGATTTGATATACAATGGCGTATAGCTCCCTCCCGTGTCGATTTTCGAAACTAAATGTCAAATATATAAACTCTCACTCATGTAGACTCTCACTTGTTGATTGTTTTGAGACGCAAAAGTTCTGTTTGAAAAAACATAGCAGGCCGTATTTATATACGACGCATATCAAGTGATAAAGTATTTATGCTCATAACAACGTTCAGGTACGATCAAACATTGTATACACAAAATAACAGTGAATAATGAAATGCAAAACAGTGATTTGAATTGTTATTAACAAAATCAATAAGAAAATTGTGTTTATTTGAAATTTTTATAGATTTTGACAAGAGTGAAATACAAAACGAGGGAAAAGTACCACAAGGTACATCGGTGTCACAAGTTGGTAAGTTGATTCATGGATTGATACACATTGTTTCCGTATGTGTGTTTTTTTAAATAATTATTTTATTTTCAAAACCATAGAAACTCAGACCACGTACATTTATTCTGAAAAGTGCCGTACCACAAACTTGAAATGGCAGACTCAAGTGAACCGGCGGAAAAGCGTCTACGCCGTGGAAGAAGTGCAAACAAAGCCACGAAAGCAGTGGTAAGTGAAGAAACATCGAAATCTCAACCGAAAACTGACGCACCCAAAAAGGAATCATCGAACTCAATGCTGTGCTTGAACGATGATTGCCTACAAAAGCTGTTTGAGCATTTGGATATCAACAGTTTGTGTCAAATGGCAAATGTTTGCAAGCGTTTCCGACCGATTACTATGCAAGTCTTCAGTCATTGTCACAAGAAATTCGTATTTAAAGCTTTAAGATGCAAAAACTCCGATTTTCGTCGTGCACTGTGCAAATTCGGTCATTTAATGACATCAATCAATGCTTCTGAAGCCAACTTGGGCAATTATGATGAAAGACTCGATGGTAATGCAATCGTCAAATATTGCACCAATAATTTGGAAGAGTTGATCGTACGACAAGCAACCATTGATTGTGATGCGTTCAAACCGTTATTCTCACGTTTGAAATGTATCAATTTGATAGAGTGTGAATTCACTGGCAACAAAACCGATTTATTCAAATCATGTCCAAATCTTGAGATCTTAAGTTTTCATGCGGATTTTTTGGGCTCCGATATGATTGATCTTGGCTATGATGAATTACTTTCGTCAATTGATTTCGTTGTTCGGAAATTTCCGAAATTAAAACGTCTTGGTAATAATAATTTTGCATTTTTTCATTTGCTCGATTTTCAAATTTGAATTGTTTTTTTTTTTTAAACAACAGGATTCGATTGTAGTTACGACGCACATTTGAAATTGTTCAATTTGTTGGCGCTCAACCCACAAGTGAAGGAAATCGATGTCATTGCCAACCCAGAAGATGTTTTCATCGATGGTATCGTCAAAAATGCGAAAAACTTGGAAGTACTTAAGCTTCGTTGCAGCGATTCCGGTCCAGAAGTAGAAACTCGAAAAGGGTTTTTGAAGCTGAGTAAATTGAAAAAGTTACAAAAATTATACTTTGAAGCCGGCAGTGAAGAATACGGTAAATTTTTTGGTCCGCTTATGGATGCATTTGCGAAGGAAAAGGTGCCAATCGGCCAGTTGGAAATGTTTAACTTTAACATTCGCCCGAAGGACATCAAAAGCATTCTCAAATTGAAGACAATGAAAATTCTGTCCTTGAATTCAATCGAAAAAGCAAGCGATGCTGATTTGGTACCATTGGCCACGCAACTGCAATTGTTGGAACATTTGCAACTGGATTTTACAAATGTAAAGGCACCAATCACAGCCAATGGCCTAGTTAATATGGCAGCAGATGGAAATCAGCTTGAATACATGGCATTGATTAACGTACAGAATTTGAAAATCGATCAAAAGGTATTTGAAAACATACTGCAAGCGGTTCAAAGTCGTAGCAATGGAAAGAAATTAACGATTGACATTGTTGGCAGTTACGATAAGACAACCAGTTTCAATGTACCAGGCGAAATTCAACGAGCCGCAAACGCTCATTTGATTATCAATTATTCAACACTAGAGGACGAATAAAGGCAACTCAATGCACCGAACAAGACACACACAAAACGAACGATGACACATACACACCAATTTACAAAAGCGTTAACTATTTTTTATTTCATTATTACTTCTAGTTGATTAAGTTTATTTTCTTCATTGAAACATTTTAGAAAAGCATACCATTACCTTTTTTCTACTGAAAAGAAAAGAATTTTCCAAGAAAACGCCACATATTTAATATATTTCAAAGAAATATCGAAAAATAACACAAAAAATATGTGAGATTGTCAAAGATTAAAACGAAATAAAATACGTTTGTATTCGAATTGAAAAATTTTAGAAAACGTGATATTTTAATAAATTCACTCGAAAGGAATAATTGAATTTTTTAGAAAACAAATATGAAATTGAAAATTGTTTGGTCGAACGAAAAGAAAATTAAATTTGAACATTTTTGTAGCACGGAACTCTAGTGTTAAGCACTGAAACTAATCAAATGTCAAATAAATGAACATTTTTTATTCAGTCAACAATCGAAGTACGTAATGATTGTTTATTTTCTTAAAAAGTAAACATTCGAGAAATTTCATTACGACCAGAAAAAAGGTAGAAAAAATTCGGAGCTCATCATATTGAAGCTATCGGGTAACGCGAATAAAACCCAATT